ATCAAATACCGGATCAATAAACGCTCGGGTCAACGAAGCCTTGTGGCCTCCACGGATTCGTTTATTTGGCGCACAATTGCTGGGGACCATGAGGAATAAAAATAAAATAATAAAATAAAAGCGAAATAAAGTTCTATAGAAGAACTGCTCGCTCCAGAAGGGCCTTATGAATCCAGGGATTCAAATTCAGAGGAATCTGTCAATTCAATAAATATTCAGGCAACATTTTGAGGAGCATTTTTCCACAAACCATCCATTCATTTCAAATGCATTTCGAACACCTACGAGTAGTCAAAAATGAGTCTGATCAATGCTACAAACTTTACCCTTCGATCGAAGTAATTACTGGAATAGGCTTACCGAAAGCAACTTGCATCAACTGCATCTGCCATACACCTTCACCCCATACAAGGAGGGCCCATGTTATTGAAAGACAAGCACCTTCGACCACAATCATAGGCTTATAACGAAGAATCATAGGCTTATAACGAAGTACATCCGTTAAAACAAAAACAGGTATCTGCAAAAAAGTAAAGCCTGTTAAGTCCTTCTCGAATCTTTAAGTTGAGAAACGGGAAAAAAATTTGCTCACCAAGAAAACCATGTAGGAATAGGTCCAATATGGAAAGATCTGTCCATAAACTTCATTTAGAGTGAGATTCTTGTAGCCAGATATCAAGTATGGAGTGAGAAAAGGAGTAGCGGGACGAAATTCCTTTATGATGCCATAAATACAAAGAAGTACCGTAGTGTACTTCCAATCCATTATTATGATTGCAGACGAGTTGAGTTACATAGGAAGCACCCGGATAGTAATGTTGATCCGACTGTCTACAATTAATTATCGATCAATATCACTTAGTATCACTGACTCAAAAAGCGTATCAAAAACGTTCTTAGAGCCCATGACGGAACGAAAAAAAACTTTATGAAAAAAGTAGAGACTAGGAGCTCATAAGGAAAGACTGAGAAAGTAGCATATTGGTAGGAAGGCGGAAAGTTACGGCAATAAGTCTCGACGGCAGGCACCTACATAATCTCACTTTCGCTGATAACATTAAGCTCATAACAAAAAACATCGCCCAACGGAGCTGGGGGAGGCTATTTTAAGCTGCGGGGTAGGAAAGACAGTTTTAAGCTGAAGCTTAGGAAGCTGTGGGAGTTATTGGTCTCTGGTGCTCCATTTGTCCTCAACGGGGAACTAAGCAGTCTGAGTGGTTTAGCTACATAGGTGCCACCTATGTCGGGAATCAATACTATAAACGGCTAAGCGCTAACCAAATGAAAGCAAGTGGCATGGAAGCACTTGAAAACATGGATGGACTTGTCAAGTAGACGAAGAACGTGTCGAACTTCGAGCTACCTCAATCTCGGAGTCTTCTTGTTCTGAAAGTAGGCTTAAGAAGGATGGTTTCCCACAAGAGCATGAACTCTGATGCCATCCAGTGCGCCTCAGCAGAGTGGTGCTTTCTTGGAGCTCGATTCATGGAAGCAATCGGGTACCCGGACTTCCGATTTCTGGAGGTTATAAGGGGTTCAATCGTGTTCGTCAAGGTATCGAAGTTCAGATGAGCCACAGACGTCAAACAACTTGTAATGGACCGAGTCAGTTACGATTGTACCTCTGGAAGTTCAACGAACACCACTACGGAGCCTATGAAACCAACTCGATAATAAGGCCCTTTTCAAGCTCTGAGCAACCGTTTCAATGCCAGTGGCTCCAATGAATGGAGGAAAGTTATGGGTAACAGCTCAGGAAGTACCGTATTTTCCCCTCCGCACTATATTTTCCCTAAGCGATCAAATGATTTTTCGTATGAAACGCCTGGCTCAACTCTTAATAGGACAGAGCAATCTTAACTGTTTCAGACAGAAGCAATCGAAAAGGAGCTGTCAGGGTAGAAAATAGGAAAGAAACGAGGGCAAAGTTGCATTCGACTCTATTCTAGTTACAGTTTCCCTCTACTGCTTATCTACATCGATGAGTAAGCGTACAAGGTACATTCGTCCTATGACTCAGTTTGCAGAAGCTTCTGAGTCTTGCAGACGTTGTGAACCTCTCTGACTTGTAGGGTGAACAACTCCTCTATTGGACCATCTGCTTGATTGAGGATTTTTGAAGGCCTTTCCGCAGAAACAGTATCCCGAGTAGCACTGACACTTTGCTGCCGAATTCAGCGCTAACAGTAAACAGACCTGATTTACCTGAACCGAAGCGACTGCCTACTACCTGCCTGCGTAACCTGGGTGGGCTCCCGCGATACACGAAATTCAAAGCTTCTCTTTCATGGTGCGACTTCAGCGAACGGGCGCTGCGAGCACGGGAGGTTGTTCGGCTAGAAGAATCTTCAACCATGTAACCTCAGCACTCGATCGGAGGACATCCTACACTTACTAGTAGTCAAGATGATTACGAGCTGAGAAAAAGATTTATTCATAGCCCACGAGCGTTATCATTACAGAAGTTAGACCGGTGGGAATGTTGTTGGAGGGGCTTTTCAACTGTGCTCTCTTACGCTTATTTCCAAACAAGAAGATCACATGTGCTTGATAGCCTGTAGTGGTGCTTGGAGACGATTTTGAGCGAGCGGGATAAAGTTTTTGGCCAGAACATGGGAGCAGGAGGAGGGAAGGAGCACCGGAGTGAACGATTGCTTACTAGGTGAGAGAAGTTTATACGGAGGAGTAATTGGTCACTAAGATATTATCTCACCAAGGTAGCACAGGAAGGGGTGCTAAAACGATTGGCTCCCGCCATTAATATTTTCACCAAGATACAAATTAAATTTAACTTAAATAACTCTGGAGCAGTTGGTCATCACCTAGTAGTCCAGTCAAGGCCAACTGAATTAATATCCGTCCTACAGAAAGACGTTAGCATATTCTGAAAGCAAAAGCTGTCCGCGCTCTACTGCTATAGTCGCGCCCCAGAGCCAATCTCTGCTTTATTCAACAAGAATTATCTACAAAATACAAGTCTCCCGTCATCTATTGGTTAGTTTGATTTCTGCTTTTGTAAGTAATACATAGTAAAGCAATATTTATGAAATCGAAATCTATGTAGTAATATGAGAACGGCCGGTTTCGAGCGAAGCGGACAGTGTACGACGTGGGAGAGTGAAAAATCCCAGTTCGTATTGGCATTAAGCCAGAAGTTGAGGTTATTCAAGAAATTTACACCGTTCAATAGATCCATACACTTATGGCCTTGACTCAAACAAAATTAGAGCAAGCCAAAACGTTGAAACTTTCGGAAAAGTACTTTTAAAGAAATGGATGATAAAAGAGGTCTATAACGGTTGAAAAGTTAAAAGTTCATAATATAGAAAAAAGAAAGATAAAGATGTTCCCACGTAATACGCGGAAGAAGTAGAAGAAAGCTCTGGCAACGGGCCGGTTCTTGAGTGACAACTGATGGTGTGAGCGTAAAGAAAAGACGGCCCATGCTCCACTTCGACTTTTGCGCCCCATCGCCAATATCTTTAGTTTCACTTTATTTTAAGTTGTATCGTTTCTATGAATTATTTTCTCGATTTTCTTCTGCTTTATTCTCTCTTCACAGTCTTGTACGATTTTGTCTTTCGTTACAATTACTTTCAAACTTCTGGGAGTTGTTTTTTACGAGTTTTTCTTACTTTGGTTTTTTTGCCTTACAGGAGTAGCTGTTAAGGTTACTGGATTGACCCGGAATTTACTAGTTGAAGATCTGTTTTCCTTCAATTCAGTCCCTTCAGTTGCTCATAGTAATGAGAAATGTGTAATGTGACAGGCGTCATCAAAGGACCAGCGTATTTACCACCCAATTCACATTTATAAATAACCAATAGCAACATATCATTTCTGGGTGAAATGGGTTTGGGGAGGGGAGAGGGGGAGCGCGGGAACGCAGAAAAGGAAGCGTAGCCGACTTTGATTGCCTGGAGATTGTTTTTGGTCAAAGGACCATAGCTTTACCCGAGCCTCAGGAGGGTAGGAGCACCGGAGTGGGTGCTATTTGCTTCGGGCGAAAAGCTGGGTCGACTAAGGAATGAACATTCAGTCGACTCACTCATCCCGGTGGTCCTTCCGTCCTGAGCTTAGGCTGAAGAAACTAAATTTTCTCGGCCAAGAATGGTTCATATTGGCGGATTCGGCGTAGGTCAATGTCGCCCAGACACACCAAGCTTCCCATCCCTCAGGGTCGGTAAATTGGTGTATGACTCGTCTGGAAGGAACAAGCAGACCTGAACATCGGCTGGTCACCGCAAATTATTGTATGAGCCACGCACGCATTCAATACGCCACTATACTTTTCTGAATGAAGGTCGAATCTTGGGCGCATCCCTCAGATGGGGTTTATCTACGCCGGAGGCTTACGCCCTCATCCTATTCAAATCCCTTGGGTTAAGAAGTTTGGTGCCAAATCACTCTGGAGTTTTAACTGAAGTTCGAACAGTACATACTTTGCGATTCGCTGCAAAAAACGCTCTGTGTGGCCGCGTGTGCACGCCGAGAGTCACGCCGCGTCGATTATAAAAAAGGCGCCGGGCACACGCACCAGCCAGTGCAAAAACCCCATGGTGCGGAATGGGTTAGGGAAAAATTCTGTGTAGACTTGAGAGCGTGCTCCATTGACACATTTATGCGCCATTGCAAATAATTCTAGTATAAATAGAGATGTGTTCACGTATACGCCCTATATCTTACATTCCAGTCATATTACGCTATTCGTAGTCGATGTCGTACTCAAGTTCTCATTAATGATGTTGTTCAGTTGTTTCGATATTCAGAAGCGATAAGTAACCCTGGGTAACCGATGGGTTACTACTGCTTTGAGTTATTGTAATCTGGCAAAAAACCTATTTTATTTTAACCCAGATGTTCTTTAAATCTCTGTGGGTTTCAGTTGAACCCAGGGCAACCATGAAATCTCGCTTCACGCTGTTGGACGTAGCTGCGGCTGTAAATGATCTAAAAGCCCTGGAGGGTATGCGTATTGTGAACGTTTATGATATGAATCACAAGACTTACATTATGAAGCTGTCACAGTAAGTTTTTGATGTAATGTCATCTTTCCTATTATTCTTGTTGTCTTTCTTTTCAGAGGAGCCGAAAAGGCTTTCATTCTGCTTGAATCTGGAATCCGTATCCATCATGGATTCCACGATTACGAAAAAGCTCCCTTCCCATCAAGCTTCAGTCAGAAACTGCGTAAGCATCTGAATAATCACAGGTTTGTATTAAGCTGCATTTGCAATTTACTCTGTACTTATAGACTCTGCAGGATAGTATAACGATTGATTTTGCGCGCAGGTAATCAATATTCTTTTTTCACTTCAGGGATGCAGCGATAGGAAATGTGAAGCAGTCCTATATATGACTATCGAGTGTTCATCCAATTTATTAGTTGTTAGATAACTTTTTAGGCTCTATAAAGTTATGCAGTTGGGTATGGATCGCATTGTTGATCTTCAAATCGATGATGGTGACCGTGCTGTCCACGTAATCGTCGAACTGTACGACAGGTGCGCGATTTTTCTGACTGTTTGTGGTTTTAGAGACATTTTTGTTACTGCATTTACTTTTAGAGGTAATATTGTGTTGACTGATGCTTCTTATTGCATTCTCAACATATTGCGTCCACGAACTGACAAGGATACCGATGTACGACTTGTTGTCCGAGAGAGGTACATTTTCCGTTACTTATTTATCTATTTATTTATTTCTTACATGTTATTATTACTTATTTTTCATTTATTTAATTATTTATGTAGTTTCCCCTTGCATTTTAATATTTCTGCCACGAGGTGGCTTGCTCTTCTACAGGATAATGAAAGTACGCAGCCCAAGTGCAACGCGTGCTTCAAGTCTACTAGCTAGTAATCTGCGCGCTGTGAACGGATTAGGCCTAATGCCGCGCCCCTACTCCATAAGCCTTTCTTGAAATCGAATGAAACTTGTTTCAATTGAGAGTTTATAGTTTCATAAAAGTAGTCATGATCTCCCATTTGGGTGATAGTGGTGATACTTCGGTTTTGACTTTTCCTGATTGCAGTCGGAATTGCTCTGCTGATAGTAATGTTCAATCAAAAACATTCGCTCACCCAACGATTTCAGTGGTCCATTTCATGCCTTTTCAGGTATCCCGCGCCACCATATCGAACATTCCCTGAGTTGCCTTCTATTGACGACATGAAGACAACTTTGAGGTACAGTGTTTACTTATGTTTATTGTGTTGTTTCTTCAAGCAACAATCTTTTAATTTTCAGTCAGTGCGATCAGAAGTGTCCTCTTAAACGTGCAGTTGTTTTGCCGGGACTTTTTGGTGCTGCCTTAATCGAACATGTGCTGATTCTTCAACAGCTCGATCCTGATCTCCCGGTATGGATTAATTAATAGTTTTGATCGATTATTAGTTCACTGTGGGTTTTGGCATGAGTGCAGTATTTTGCTGGTGGGAAGAGAAATTCAGGAAGGGACGAGTGGGAAGAGGGCGGGGATGGGGTGGAGGGGCGTGGCAGGCTAGCAAGAGAATGAATGCTTGTTTCCATCTGCTTTTCTCTTCATCTCTGCGATTGTTGTGATTGACTTCTTTAGATGGCTTTATTAATTTTTTCCTCTCAAACGCTATCTGCTCTTTGTAAATTGATCTTCAACAATGTTTTTTTTTTCAATTTGTCAGGTCTCGGAGCAAGAAGACAATTGTGCCGAGGAAGTGGTCCAAGCGTTGTTCAAAGCATTAAAGATCACTGAACAGATTTTCAAGAGACCATCCCATGGATACATTACGTACTCACGTCAAAAACGGGCTGATGGAACAGAAGTTGTTATATTTCAGGTAACAACTGCATTAATTCCTACTAGTAAATATTTGCCTGAGCAGCGCTTTTTTTTAGGAATATCATCCGTACCTCTTTGCGCAACACAAAAGGGGCAAATACGTTTTTCATGAAACATTTTCTGAAGCTGTTGATGCGTTTTATGCTGCTCAAGATTCTCAGAAAAAGGTTTGTGCTTTCTTGTATCTGCATAAGTTTTTGTTGCTTTGGAAGACAGTTTTCAGGAACAAAATGCTCTGAAAATGGAAAGAGAAGCTTTGAAAAAGTTAGAAAATGTAAGAACTGACCAATATCGCCGTATTACGGAACTCCAGGAGAGTCGTGAGGAGAAGATGGTCATGGCCGATTTGATCATTATCAATCAGGTAGTCCAACTATTTAGTTGGCATTCTTGCTACCGTCAGAAAGTTCGATTTTAGGACCTTGTGAACTCCGCCATCAACATTATCTGTAATGCGCTTGCTCAAAAGTCTACATGGGATGAAATAGAACGAATGCATCGTCAAGCAGTTAGTAGCGGTGATCCTGTAGCAAGGTAAAATAAAAAATTAATAATTAATTTTCATTTTAAAATGAAAGACGCTGATTTACACTGATTTCATTTGTGGCTCCCTTTAGTGCGATTGTCAAGCTGGATCTCGCTAACAACAAGATAATCATGCGTTTGAGCGAAGATTCCGAAGAGACCAATCCGTGAGCACTTTTGTGTATTTCCTTTTTTACTTTTATGTTTCTCAATTATAAAGTGTTTTTATCAAGAAGTTTTGAATTTTTTTAGTTATTTTAATTTATTTCTTGAATTCCATTTGGCCCATGTGTTTTGTAGAATCGGTTCACTAAAGATTTTCAAAACCAAGTGGGAGCACAAGAGCGTTTTTATTTGTCATGTCTGTGCTCGTGCAGTAATTTTTTTTAAATTTCTTGTCATTTCAGGAAAGATGTACCAATCGATATTGGCATGACAGCGTATAACAACTCTTGTATGCTTTATAAAGGCATGAAAGCAGCTGCTGAAAAGGTAACTTTGAAGTATTTTTTGAATTTGAACAGTTTGAATTATTTGCTGTTAAGATTGTGCGTACAGAAGCAGCCGCTGATAAAGCGGTGAAAAACGCTGAGGAAAAAGCGAATGATACTATTAAGCAGGTCAGTCATCACCTCGCGGTTATTTCGAGGTAAATAGCAGATCTCAGACAGCGTTGTTTCAGGTTTTTGTCCGTGCCGATACCGCAAAAGTCAGAAAGGAGATGTGGTTTGAAAAGTTCATCTGGTTTATCTCGTCCGAAAATTACGTAGTGGTTGTTGGACGAGATGCTCAACAGAACGAGTTACTTGTGAAACGGTAGGAAGCCAATCAACTTAATGTACAGTGTGACATCATTCTTTGCTACGCTTTTGATTAGTTGATCTACTTATATGGTTAAATTACTCACCTGGTTCAGATACCTACGTCCTGGAGACATTTATGTGCATGCTGATGCTCATGGTGCTGCATCTGTTGTCATCAGGTACTTTAATTCGAATCTAATACTTCCATAATACTACAATGATAGATATATGGCGGTTTAAGAACTGCTCGGTGTGTATTACGTGTTTTCTGACTTACAGTAGGCTTTGGGGTTTCATATTTGCTATGGGCACTACGTAGGAGGAGTGCCGAGTGTGTGCAACTAGTTCAGGAGGAGCCAATTTGGGAATTAATTCTGCCCGCGAGCGGCAGAATAACATGATAATAACGTTAGCAACCCACTACATTTGACTCATCCATGTTTGTCGAGTGCGGCGCACCGCAAAGTTGCACGTCGCCCATTCTGACCTAATGTCACATAACGAAGAGTACCACTCCCGATTATAACCGTGGTGTGCCACGCTAATGTTACAAGTGAGCTGAATAGAGTGTATAGTTCGGGTCAGCCTGAAAGCATGTTTAGATACCCTGCAGGATCTTTTCAGTGTCGTACTTCTAAGTAAAGTTCCAGGAGCACTTCCGTTATTACTGTTTCAAGCTTCATTTTCTTAATTTACGTTCTTTTTTCCTAAAGAAACAAGGCTGGTGGCGGAACGATCCCTCCAAAGACGATGACAGAAGCCGCACAGATGGCTATTTGTTGTTCAAGTTCTTGGAGCTCACATGTCATCTCGTCCGCGTGGTGGGTATACGATCATCAGGTCAGTGTGGTTGATCTATAACATCTATTACTATAATTCCGTCCTAATGATATTCAGGTTTCAAAAGTTGCTCCATCTGGGGAGTACTTATCCCATGGTAGCTTCATGATTAGAGGAAAGAAGAACTTCATGCCTGGTAGTCCACTTGTCCTCGGTTTTGGTATCTTGTTTCGACTTGATGAATCTAGCGTTACTGCTCGTAGGCAGCAAATTGTGGTAAGTCAGTTAAATTGTGGCTTTTTCATGAGTATCGCTTTTTTCCATTCTTTTTTTTTTCTTGGACTGTTGCCAACAATCTACAACTAGGCACAATGGCCCGCTGATTGTTCTAGATGGGAGCTTATTAAAATGTGTATTGCGTGGTCAATACTTGATACCAAATCGTATACAGAAATATACAAATCGAAATTTCACCCGTTACCTATATCCGTCTGTTTGCTGCCTATTGTATTTGGGTTCATACTGTGCGATTCACATGTTTCATGCTTGGCCACCTCAGTTTTCAATAGAACAGTTGCCAACATCTTTTCTATCATCACCTTTTCATTTGTTTGGGATCTATACAATCAATGATTACAAATGAACCACGAGCTGTTTCTTTTTTCTTTAATTGAATATTAACGAAAAGGAGGCGTTAGCTTAAAATAAATGAAAATGTATACGAAAACAGTTGAAATGAAGGACAAAGTCCTTAGTTAAAGGGGTGCCACTTCATTTTAAATGTAAACTAAGGATTTCTGTCTCAAATGGATAAACTGTGGCGGTTTCCGATAGCGTCTGTTTAGAATATGCCGGATAGTGAGAACAAACAGGCCTCTATTGAAGCGAAGGACGAAAAAGAGGAAGTGCTCATAGAAGAGGAAGCGGCTGAAGCTGAAAACCCTGACGAAGATTACCCCGACATTCAGGTGCGGTCTTAAAGGTAGTACTATAACCTCGAAACTGAATGATATCACTTGCAGCTCGACGTTCCGACTGTCAACCTTCGCAGCCAACTCGGTAATGTTGAAGAGTACTCTGTCATTGATTTCGCTGCCAAGAGTCGCCCTAAGAAACAAGCTCAAACCAAAGAAAAGGAAACCCAGGAGTATTTGGAGAAAAAGAAGGAAGAGGAACGCAAGGTTTGATCTACAAAGATTTTCACATTTGGTCCTATAATGTATTTTGTACCTCTTTGTACAAATTTAGGCAAATAAGAAGATTGGAAAACGTCAGAAGCATAAAATGGATAAAATCAAAAAGAAGTACCGTGACCAGGATGAGGATGAGCGTGAAATGCGTCTTGCTCTTCTTGGAAGTAGAGGTATGACTATTTTTGGCTTTGCGGTTGAAAGCAGTAAATGGCATGTTTCAATTGGGACCTTTGTAATAGTTAAATAATAGGTAAACAAACAAAAGATGAGAGCCAAGCGACGACTGGGAAGAAACAAGATGATTTGGGGAAGAAGCGTGAACCTAATAAGGGGAAGGTGGAGATGGACGCCAGCAAAGTTCCAGCTGGCGATGGTCAGAAGCCCAGTGGAACTGCCATTGATGATGATCGTAATGGGGAGGGAGATGAGGAACTTCCCGAAGAAGACACTCAGCTCGACAGCGAGGTAGAACAGGTTAGTTCTCGCCCTTTGGTGTCTTATTTTGGTCTGATTCAACTAGTAATTTGGAAATATTGATTGGTCTCTTCAGTCTCACATGAATGTGTACAGATTGCGGAGCTCCAGTTGGATGAAGAACAGAATCCAAAAGAAGAGTCGCATGGTGACCAGGCCGGGAAGGAGCCTCCCGCCATGGATGATGATGACGACGCAAAGGAGGAGGTGATGGTAGCAGAGGATAGCGAAGGTGTGTGAAGGAGAAGGAGCGTTTGAAGTCATTTTGAAGACATCTTAACGATTATTGTTCAGGTCTGATCTCGCATCTGACAAGTAACCCCATTCCCGATGATGTGCTCCTGTATGCTGTGCCCATGGTGGGCCCATATCAGGTACGAACTTGTCTTGATTATCCCTGCGATTCAAATTCAAATGGAGTGTTGTATTTCCGACATGAATTTTGTTGAGATTTGCCGCTGAAAAGCGTCCTCTCGGGTGTGGCCCAGTTCACCAAAATGTGCTCCTGGCTTTAAAATTGTTTGTGGGGTAGGATAATTTGTATCAAATCATACTTGTCCAACATCAATCATTTTTCGGAAGAATTCGATCGAAATATTTTGGACAGATTCTTACAGTAAGAAACTTTTCAAGAAGATTTCATCTAGCACTTTCACTCGGAGAAAAGCATGGGCTTTAAAAGCGGTTTGCAATTTTTTTTCAAATTATACACGAAGGAGCACATAAACACGAGCTGATTCAATTAGACTCAGCAATAAGTATTTTTATATAGTTACTCTTTCCAGGCCTTCAGTAACTTCAAGTACAAAGTGAAAATCACGCCTGGAACAGCCAGGAAGGGCAAGGCCGGCAAAGCTGCACTAGATCTGTTCCTCGTAAGTACAATTATAATCGTACTTACTTTGTGATTCATACTTTTTTGGCACAAAAACCCTTTTCTACTGTTCCAGCGCACTAAGAGCGGTGATCCTCGGGAACAGGCACTTATTCGTGCCCTCGTCGGGGATGAGAATGCGTGTCGTAACATTCCGAAGGGATGCCGTGTTTCAGCTCCTCAGCTGTATGCAAAATAAACAATATCAACTCAAATGCTCCAGAAGGGTAACTAAATGGGTAAACACGAGTCTTTGCTTTTTGTCTTTTTTTTTCGAGTCACTTGTTGTAATTTAATTCGAGTATTTGCATGCATACGGGATTTTGCAGCCGTCCCTAGACGTGCTCATCCTTAAGCCTCCAAGTGGTATCTGTTGAATGATTCCGATTATCACAGAAGAAGTAACTATGTACCTTTATACTCAAATTCTCTAATAAATATTATATACGTCATTTTCAGTTATTCGTAATCATGAATCAAGGAATTCAAACGTTTTCCTAGGTTTTAGGGTTTGGAGAGGAAGTTGGAAGAACAGAACCCGTTTCCTTGTCGAAAGCCTGAGGTTCCTGGTATTACACATTGGGGTGCTCAAATCAGTAATTGTGAATGGTAGTGCAACAGTTTTGTATGGGTATATGGGTGTTTCAAATTTGCCGCGCGATCAATGATCCGAGCGTTTCGCAACGCAGCGGCTTATTCGAAAAGGTGCGCGCCAAAATTCTTCGCGTCGTCGTGCCTTAAAGTAGCCACGTGACCAAAGTCGGCAGATAGTATAAATGAAAACGCGTGCGAGAGTCGGCGATTACAGTGTATCTGGTGAATCCTATCTCTGTTTGTAAAGAAGTCACATAGGAATCTTCAATTCATTTCTTCAACACAATCTACAAAACAAAATTCTCATAATCGAAACAAAAATTCCACACAGTCGAACCATAAATTATGTAAATAGCATTAAGCAAAACAATCAGCAGAAACTGGTAATTGTAGAGAACAACTCTTAGGATATGTACGCGTGACGTTCTTTGGATGACTTCCATTCATAACAGGGGAATGACTAGTTTCCAACGAAGACTATCCCTCTTAACAGTAGTAACGCTAACTGCGAAACCGCTCCTGATTTCTCTAGAATAAGTGAGTTAAAAGGTCCATGCTTCTGACAGTCATCCAAAAATCGCAAGTGCTGCCTAGAATAGAGCGCTCTAGAAGTGTTTCCGAAGGCTCTTTGTGAGGATCGTTTGAGCGGCTTTCCCTTCTTGGAATGCGCCATGCATATGAATTCCATTGAGAATCGCACTGTGATCCCTTCATAGTCCCATAGCACAAAAAGGTACAGCTGTAGGTAGTACAAAAAGGTTCTAAGTTTCCTTAACGAAGTTGATTCCTAATACCCGCTCGGAGCGCTTAGATATCTGGCTGAATTGGCGGATTCCGAACCAGCATTCATCGTGGGTTCTTGCTTCCAGCATCGGTAAAACCCAGCATTCCCCCACCTTCGGTCTACCCGGGAATCTGGGGAAGAGAAGTCAAGAGCGGTACTGAAGATAAGTAGCAGGGCTCAGCAAACTTTGTACTAATCGTCAACTATACGGTAACTAATTTCTTTGGAAAGGACAAAAAATCTAACAAAATCTACTGAAGCAGTGGAGTGTCACTCACTAGACTAAATAACAACTGAAAAGCACCAATCAGAGCTCAATAGCGGAGGGCGATCGATAAATATTCGGACCACTCATGATGCTCACTTATTATAATAAACGAAAGCAGTGATGACAACATTAACAACTGTGACAAGGAATTAAGTGCCGCAAAATATAATCATATCCAGGCCTCAAAAAAATGACTACTGGTAAAGTATTTTCTAGAATTCAGACTTCGTCTTATTCTTAGTGCACATGACTTAGTCGCCACCGTTTTTCATAAAATGTAACCAAAATCGTAAAAACGATAAGTCAATGGACCTCATTACGCTTAATACTGCAGTATTTCGAAAAAAAGCAAAATAACATCATCTGTAAAAATTGTCTCTTAGTGAAACAGTATTTATGAGAATATGGGCGGAAAAACATGGTAGAGAATGGTAGCTGTCTCGAACCCACTAAAAGTAGGGATCTGGGATCCACCAATAGGAAGAGCCTTAAGATGGCATTATTTCCGCCCATAAACTCGTCCCAGACATTGTCCATAAGTCTTTCAGCCAATGAAGGATTTCCATAACCTTCACTGCCTGAAGGCTCACAATGGACACTGGCTGACCTTACAGGTATTTCTGAAAAGTAACATTACACGTTCACTGAGCTGACTCACTAGAAAATATTTTTTTTACATAAAATCTCTGAGAAAGTTGCGAAGAGCTATGCACTGTCATTCGCTTCCAACATATCTTCTGTGCTTTGGACAGGTGGTGGTCCAACGATGAAACCAAGTGTACGGTATTTCTGATGGTCGTTATAATCCTGATGTATAAATTCCTTTACAAGCGAAGAAACGTTTAAATGCTCACTCTCACCAACTTACTCGAATTTGTACAGTTTTCCCACCCTCACGATCCCAGATAATAATCTCTTCTCCTTCTTCACTTGCTGAGAAGGTTTTTGAGAGAAATCGGGCTTTCTTGCCTTTGATCGCTTCACGATGTTCATGTACAAGTGAAAGATAGCAAGCTGCCAAGCTTCCGATGCGACGATCCCTTCTCCAAGTGATCTGAAAGTTTCCATTCCCAAACTTTGATCAACTCCTCCGGAACCAATCAATAATATTTGTGGATTAGGTAAGCCCACAGATTCGATCTCAATCGATCAAACTGCTGCTCTTTCAAGGAGGAAAAACGAAGGTTCAAGAAAAGGTTCAAGTTTTCCAGGGAACGTCGCCCGTCCAGATAATCCCGCCCACTTTGCGCGCGGTAGAGGCCACTGCGATCTCGAAAAAACATTACAATACAACTAAGTGTAAATGGAGCATATCTCTCCTTTAAGCTGACTTCTGTGGACCAAGATCAAATCGTATGCCTCACTGACAACCGCATCGCCCGTCGA